CGCTACCATTATAAGGGGGGGGGGGGGCGAATTGGGCCTCCGGATACCTACACTCACCAGACGAAACGCAGAAGCTGAGCTTCCACTTCACGCCGGTATTCTGTGAGGTCGTGGTACCACAAATTCTTTGTTTTATTGCTTCCGTTAGGTGGCGGTATAAACATTCTGTTTACGCCAGTTGTAAAATACCCAGGCCAGCGATGGGCAGCAAGCACTGACCTCTATATATACAAGTACACTAGACTGGCGTATACACCGTGTCATGATGAGGCAATTTGATTTGCGCCATTTTGGCGCTGACAGCAGAAGTGCACGTCCACGGAACTAATAGTAGGGATAAGACAGTGTGACAAAATATATTGATAAAAATTGTATACCCTACCTATCTCAATAAATAGAATGAACTCTATGGATAGATGGACTCTACCCGTAACGTCTATTCTATTTATGTATCATATTAATAAAATGCCATTATCATTCATCATCATTAAATCCCTTCACAAGTCCGCTGTTGAACATAGGCCTCCCCCAAGGAATGCCACAAAGCACGGTCCTGAGCAACCTGCATCCATCAACTTCCTGTATGTCTTACCAGGTTTTCACTCCATCTAGTGGGGGAACTTCCGACACTTCACCTGCCGGTACGAAGCTGCCACTCGAGAACCTTTTTTCCCCATTTTTCTATACATGGCAAAAAACCAGTATTACTGTCTAGGATTTTATAATAAGCGACATGAGGTTTAAAATTGTTTTATTGAAATAGTCATTCAAGTATCTATATGAAAAAGAAAGAAATAAAGTTATTTCTCGAATTTCGCTTCGCTCACATACACGTTTAAAAATGCGCCTTGCTGAGGTTTCGTTCTTATCGTTACGGTTACGGTTAATGACAGCTTAATGCTGCTTTATTTCGCACGGTGAGTGTAGAGAACCGGAGGCGCTTTTTACTGGAAATGATGCATTCCATTTCAGTCTACAGCAGTGATCTGGAATATTATATAGAAGATATCAATATGCATCGTAAAAGTCTATATGAGCGGCCAGTGTTCAACAGTGAACTTGTTATGAGATTGAATTTTGCAAAACTCAACTATGAAGGAAAATCTTCATGTCTTTCTGCGCAAAATATACTAAATAAATAGAGTGCTCTTGAGCTATTAGATTTTATTTATTATATATGCTTTTGTTTTACTCTAGACTGTATGACTACTCTATTTATGGGAGAACTAAAAGTTAGGACAAAACTACAATAAATTCATTAAATTATTCATAGTATTAAAACTGACACTATATACGGTACTGAAACGGCACCACTATTATTAATTTTTATCTATTATTTATAACTAATTAGCACTGAAAGTGCTCTTTCTTCTTCTGCCTTTTTTGCTCCTTTGTGCCACGCCGCAAATGACCCCAGCTTTTTATTCCCGCAGCGGACGGTTCGCGGTCGGTGCATTCCCGTGATATCTACGGGTAGGGTCATCATCTAGTTACTGTGGTATTACTCATGGCCTTTTGACTTAAGAAGCTTCATCGAACTTAGGGCTTTTCAGGATGCTGCCTATGAAAAGGGTTGGATGATGATTATAATATATTTGTCCGAAGTTACTTTCGTAACGGTGTTCACCTTTGATAATTTTGCATTTCGCTAATAATTTTTCTAACCACCGTCCGAATAGTGGTGGTAGATACCGGCTCTGACGGCTTATTAGTTTCGTTCTATATTCTGGGCGGTGAAATTCGCCCAGGCATGCGAGTGTACGGTATGTACACGGTGTCGCCGGCACGCTCGTGTGGGGGGCACGCTGCGTCGCATTCATTGTTATAAAGCATTGTTCTAAAACGCATTAGTAGCTTTCTTTGTTTAAACTTTGCTTCAGTTGTCCACAGACTGCAGAAGCTACTTACCATTAGGTAAGCTGTAAGTTCGTTTCCACTTCCGGTTTGTAAAATTTAAAAAATATTTAAAACTTTAAGAGATTGTTTTGCACTACAAAAAGATAGGGTCGAATTTATTTTCCACTTTTATATTATAAAATTTAATAAATGCACTTAAACGAACGGAAAACCATTAATTATAATTTCAAAGGAAGCGTAGCGATCAAAGAAAGCCCGCGTAATACAAACGCGTTACAAAACCCGGGGTGGGTTTTGTAAAAGAACGCCACACCGCATTTAGCGCACCAATTTTAGGGTTCTGGTAAAATAGAATAGAATAAATATTTATTGCATAAAACTTTATAGGAGTATCTAGAAAATGCATCAAGAGCATGAATAAATATTTTTAAATAGTAAGTGAATGCATACCACCAAACCCTTAACTTCTATATAATTATAAAGTTATAACATACATATATACGACCCATTACTGGGCACAAGCCTTTTCTCATATCTGAATAGGGGGTTTTAGGGTAATGGAATGCCTGTCGCGCTGCTCTATTAAAATTATTATATAAGCCTGTTCCATTTATAGCAATTTTTTTTATTTGACCGTGTAGTGGCATTCTAAAAATATGAACTACCTAATATCGTCGTAAATAAGTCTCGTGGAAAATAAGCTAACCGAAATATAAAAAGGGGGATTTGACATCAAATGTCAAATTTCGTGAAATTCATGGCGCCACGGCTAAGGGACTTCTTCGTTTGAGAGTAAAACACATTTTTTTTTATAGAATAGGCTGACAAACGAGCACACAGTCCACCTGATGGTAAGTGGTTGCTGCGGCCCATAGACATCTACATCTATCTTCCATTACAAATCAAAATGCAGATGCGTTGTCACCCATGAGGACTGAGATGGAATGCCTCATTTTCAGTAAAAAGGGTCTCCGGTTCTCTACACTCACCATACGAAATACAGCAGCATTAAGCTACTATTTCACGCTGGTATTCTGTGAGAGCGTGGTCCTTCCCCGGTCGAGCCGACCCATTCGTGCTACAACTATACTACTAATATAACTGCAGCATGACTCTACCACGTAGAAACACCAACGTACAACACGTAGAAACATACAACAACCACAAAAGTTTGTTCGTAGCATAGTTGCGTAGCAGTAACGCTTACTATAGAATAAGTATCTTTTCTAATTTCATTATATACAAATTTTTTTAATAGAGGTGAGGTAGAAACTTTGTTTGTTCATTCAACAGGAATTCATGTCGCTAAATATTCAAGTACACATAGTCGCAGCCCCTTATTACAAAGTTTCGTACGTGACGAAAGAAACGTACATGAGAAATGCCAGAAAAATCTTATGGCTACCGACAGATGGGGTCATAGCTGTTTCGTTTACACTATACAATACCTAGAACGACTGTTCCAGCAGCGTCAAAGATGTCTGTTATTGCTATCGTCAATCCGCTTGTTTGGCGTGACTTCTTCTTCACTTAAAAATCAGGTCCAGGAGGTTCACATTTAGCATGGGACATTTAAAAGCTGACTAAGAGGATGAATAAACATTTAATAATGCTTAAAGGCACCTAAACGTATAAAACGTTAATTCTGAAACAATTTAAGCCTTTTTTAATCAATACTTACTTTGAGGCAAGAAGAGATAAACTAGTCGAAAGACAATCTATTTCCAAAGTAGAATGAACTTGCAAGGGGAAAATACTATATTATTTTTATTGATGTTAATGCCTTACTCATTGAACTCATCACACTACCGAAGGTTCCATTATCGCCTATAAAAATCTACCGCCGAAAATAAGCCTCCCCATAGATTCCCATATAGGGGGATATTTGCCAAGTTCCTAGATAGGAGTCGTTAACCACAGTTTTAATAGTTTTAAGGAAGACGTTGCTTTCCATATCCTGGTTTGTTCCCCTCTATGAAGCTTCTTATGACACCCACGGAACGACATAGAGTAGTGGATATTAATACACGGCCCCTACACGATCCACGTCCACGACACGCCACAACCGAAGGTTTGTTGGCTTAAAATGTAATTATTGTATTATTATATACTATAAAAGGAAAAAAAATCTAAAAAAGGACACAATTTATTCTTGCGGTGTCATAAAAATGGACTATGGAAAATTTCAGAAAGATTTTATGACTTTCGACATAACATGGAGGATGAACTATTTCGTTTTGGGCGATAAGGGGGAGCTTTAAAGGTGCAAAAAGTCTCGTAGATGACATGCCTGTCTGTTTAGCGGACTAGGAATAACCTACGTATAACCGAGGATATGTTCACTTTACATACCTGTTTAAATATATGTATCTACGAGTATAATATGTATGTAGTTATATTGTATGTAACTATATCGTTTTTCTACTGTCGTATTCCTGTTTGAAGGTAAAAAATTGTTGAAACAGGTAAAAAAATGGTCCAATCCAGAGGGGATCGCTAATGACTAATTAAAAAAAAAACAATTGCATGACCAGTGGACTGTTACTTACACCCGTATTTATAAAGAAGTAATTACTTGCTGCTAAGTAATTTCTTCATTAAGTCATTACTTAACCTCCTGACGACCAGGAAGCCTAAAGTTTAAGTATTTTCATGAAACTTCTATGGGATATTATTTAAAGCATAAGTACTTAGGGAAAAGTAGTGAAAAAATCCATGTCCGGAAAATCTAGCTTTTCCTTATGTTCTTTATAAAGTACAATTGTAGCTAATTTAGATGTACTTCTAGTAAGACATAAGCGTTACATCTGATTTAAACCAGCTAGACTTTCGTAACATTGCGTAGGAATTTAAAAAATAAAACGTAAAAAAAATGTTGAGGCACAATTTTTAATAAATCTTTCAGAAACTTAACGTCTTGTTACATTTACTCTCTTAAAAAGGAGATAAAAAATAGTATTCTTACTCTTAATATGTTTTCAACTAACACTATATTTGAGAGATCAATGTTAACAACTTAAAGTTTATCCTTATCTTAATAATTGAATAATCAGCCTCATAATAAGAGAGCTTAAGTGAAAAAAAACAAAGCTTCTAAAAATCAACAAGAATAAAATTAAATAAAATTAGAAATCATTCCTCAACTATCTCATGAAAACTTGCAAAGCAGTTTCTGTTAGGCACGAAACATAGACGAAACACTTCACATCTTTTGCAGAAGACGTGGTCTTTTTGTCGCAAGATTTATTTCTGCATCTTGATTGCTTTGGTCCATAATCAGGCATATGGGATGCTTTCTGAAGGCGTCTTTGCTTGGATGGAACTGGTTTGATCATAACTTTGTGCTTCTTATGTTTTGGTTCCAACTCTTTCATTTGGTCTGGATTACTCTCGCTATCACTCTCCGTGTCATTATCTTCAATCAGCTTGGTACCCAAGTTAAGCTTATAATCTCGAAGTTTCCACATAAGGGCCCTGTTTGTGTTTTTTTCTAACTCTGTAGCTCGATATTGAACTACCGCCAAATCAAAGAGATGTGATATCACTCTTACAGTCCATTTGATAGTCCTGCTTCGTGAGGTGCACACAGACAGCATGCGATCAGCGAGGTCCACTCCTCTCATATTTTGATTGTATTTTTTAATGACTTCCGGCCTTTTCACTCTTTCGTAGCCTTTCTTCTTTTTTGACCATCGCTCACAGTCATCTTCATTTTTATTGCTATAGAGAAAAGACATCATCATCACGGGCTTGTTGTCAAGCCACATTGTTTTTGCAAGTTGGCCGTCTTGTCGCAACTTCACTTCACTTGAACCTCGTGGTAGTTTCTTGAATTCTTTTTCTGACGTCAACTTACAATCTTTCGGGATTCTTCCTCTCTGTATAGTACCAGTTCCATGAAATCCTCTTTTGATTAATTCGTCGCACAACTGCACCGAGGTGAAGTAACGATCAAAGTATAGGGAATGCCCTGGGACTAGAGTTCGCGTAAGATGTAGGACGGCTGATTCACCCAATCCAAACCCTTGAGAGTTAAGCTCTGGAAAAGTTTTGTCTCCTTGATAAATTATCATATCACATACAATACCTTGTGGTGACGCAAGGACAAACACTTTGAGGCCAACTGGGTTTGGCTTGTTTGGACAATATTGTCGCATGTGGCATCACCCAGTGAAAGGAATTATCATTTCATCGATGCACATATCTTGTGGACGATCTTGTTGATGGCAGCCATTCAAAATACAATCAAATAATGGTTTAACTTTCTAGATTTTTTCCTATTTCTGCTCCGGAGTAACATCAGCATCGTATACACATTTTAATTGCGTCCTGATAGCATAAAACCTGGTTCGAGTCATGGCTAAAGCAATAATGTTCACTCTGTATTTTCCTGACCAATACATATTGATTTGGGGATATTGGAGGGTAGAAATAACCATCGTTATTCCAAGAAAACTTTTAGTTCTTTTATTGTTAGTCCCAGTGTTTTTCCTTTATGCAATATGTTGGTCCTATTTGTGCTATCAGTAATGGTAGTCAGGATGTCATCAGTAATATATCGTTCGTAGAATGATTGCCACTCCCAATCAGTAGAATCTTCGACCAGGTAAGCTGGTTGCATTAAACTTTCGGCTTCTGGCTCAAACGCATCTGCTAACCATTTATCTAGTGACTCACTGTCATTTTCAGAGTTTCCGCGAAGTGTGATTACACGAGGATTTGTAAGTGAACGACCTCTGCTTGGTCGTCTGCTTTGTGCTCTTCCTCGCGACCTTGGAGCTCTGGAGTCAGTAGATAATGTAGGTGAAGGTGCAGGGTAATCTGATTCAGTAGCATTATCTGAATCATCCGAGTCTGTAATCTCCGTATCGGAATCATTAGCACCAATTGCAACAACATGACAGTCGAGTTCCGGAGGTTTGAAGGTCAGATCATAATCTGAATCATCGCTCGAATAGTCGAATACAGATTCATTTAGTGCGTCAGCGATATTTTCATCATTCATGGCTGAAATAAAAGTGAAAACTCATAAATAATGCCAAAAGTTTTGCAATGTACTTTGTACAGTACGTGGGTAGTTAGTAATGCAAAACTTTGATTTGCGACCCTTGTACTATGCAGAGGACATAAAAATGTTTGAGGTTATAGTGTACTGAATTTTGCAAGTTTCCCATAAAAGTAGGTACAAATCAAACAAATAATCTTATTTTAGGTAAAATATACAAAAATAGTGCATAATATCAAACACACATTAGAGATTAACATGGATAAACTTACGTCTGTGCGAGCGCGGTCCTACTTCACTTGCTTTGGACGCCACTTTTAATAAAATGACAGATGTGACGGAGTGCAATATGGACGAAAGTTACTCAAAAAGAACTAATAGATGGCATTGCAACATCAAAAAAGGGTTGTCATTTCAAACATTTTTGGTTGAATTTTTAATGTTCTATGTACTACATGAAGTACGGTGGTAGTCAAGAGGTTAGAATTCTCAATTACAAAATCTCATTCTATAGTTGAGTACTTACTTGAGCAAATGCTCAAGTAACGTTCGACGCTTCGTAGTTGTTTCTGTGTGGCAACACTTCGTGACTGCGTTTTGTTTCATGAAAAGGCAAACGTAAGGTCTAGATTACTTTTACAAAATCTTGTAATAATATCTTTGATATTACTTTACTTTATATTTATAATAGCAATAGCATTGAATGAAGTAGTTTATATTGTTAAAAGTTAATTATATGATTATTGTCATTTAATGTTGTTGGTACAAAAAAAAAACAAATGCTAGGAAAAACAAAACGTTTGACATGTTAAAACCCTTGTAAATTTAAATAGTCACTTTTTACTCATGGATTATATGCCCACACGTGATTTTTTACTTAGAAAGATTATACATACATTCATTGCTGTCAACTCAACTAATTTACTCTGAAATCTAAACCGTTTTGTCGGCGAGTTGAATTTTTTCTCTATATAACTTTCCATAAACCTGTCCGATTTACGCAAATCGTATAATATAGAATGCGTAAATCGGAGCAAAAATTAATATTAAAAAACTGAAGGTAGCCGGACTAACTATGACATTGGGACGTCAAACATCTCAGTCCCCCCCCCGTGACCATGGGCGCTGTAAAGCACCCGAAACATCGGGATAATAATAAAAATAAATTAAAGTAATTAAACGCGATAAAATCCGTAAATAATAGTTTTATTCAAAGTATAACGGAAAGTTTGAATACAGGCCTCGAAATATCTAATAGGGCAACACAACACAAAAAAAAGAACACATAGCTGACGTGAAGCATCAACGTTCCGGGAAGTCTGCAATTTGCAATCATATCCTAAATAGCCCCAACCATTACATCAGATTTGATAGACCACAAATCCTCGGGAAATGCTAGGAAAAACAAAACGTTTGACATGTTAAAACCCTTGTAAATTTAAATGGTCACTTTTTACTCATGGATTATATGCCCACACGTGATTTTTTACTTAGAAAGATTATACATACATTCATTGCTGTCAACTCAACTAATTTACTCTGAAATCTAAACCGTTTTGTCGGCAAGTTAAATTTTTTTCTATACGTATAACTTTCCATAAACCTGTCCGATTTACGCAAATCGTATAATATAGAATGCGTAAATCGGACCAAAAATTAATATTAAAAAACTGAAGGTAGCCGGACTAACTATGACATTGGGACGTCAAACATCTCAGTCGCCCCCGTGACCATGGGCGCTGTAAAGCACCAGAAACATCGGGATAATAATAAAAATAAATTAAAGTAATTAAACGCGATAAAATCCGTAAATAATAGTTTTATTCAAAGTATAACGGAAAGTTTGAATACAGGCCTCGAAATATCTAATAGGGCAACACAACACAAAAAAAAGAACACATAGCTGACGTGAAGCATCAACGTTCCGGGAAGTCTGCAATTTGCGATCATATCCTAAATAGCCACAACCATTACATCAGATTTGATAGACCACAAATCCTCGGGAAAGAATATCAATTCCTACCAAGGATGATACGCAAGGCTATTGAAATTAAAAAACATCCTAATTTCAATAGAGAAGGAGGCTGGGTACTACCACCTGCTTGGGACCATAATATAATTAATAAAATTAAACCCAAACATACCACTGCAAGACTTCAAAACACAGTTAGTTCATTCTGCGTAGATCGGACCAAAGACAATAATTAAAAAGCTGAAGGAACTCCGTGTTAACTTCGACATCGGGACGTCAGTCACCTCAGTTCCCCGTGATCATGAGTGCTGGAAAGCACCCGAAACTTTGGGTATTAAAAATAAAAAATAAAATAAATAAAACGCGATAACATCCGTAATACTAATATATAAAAGTAATTGCATAAAGTTATGTAAAAGTAGCTGTAAAATGCATCAAGAGGATGAATAAATATTTCTAAATGGTAAATGGATGCTTACCATCGGACCCATAATTTCTATACTTAAATTAAAGTTACAGCATAAATAGAATCCATTACTGGCCACAATCCTCTCCTCATTTAAATTGAATGCCCGTCGTATTTAAATTATATTATTATATAAGCCTATTGCATTTATAATAAATATTTTTAATTGACCGTGTCCTGCACTGCTGTGGCATTCTAAGAATATCCACTACCTAATATTATCTGACAAGATTTCACATCAAATTTAACATTAAATGTCAAATCCATACTTTATATAAAAATATAAAATATATGAATTGACATCAAATGTCAAATTTCGCGAAATCCATGGTGCCGTGGCTATGGGACTTCACCTTCTTTTGGGAGTAAACCACATAAAACGAACACAAGAGGTTCGCAGCATGGTAGCGTAGCAGTATAAGCTATTGTTGCTACGCTTTGGACACACCTATGTTACCACGAGTTACTAAAATTTCAAAAGAAAGTAAAAAACTAAACTCTCATTATTACAGCTCATTGTGTTCACTGATGAACATAAGCCCTCCTCAAGTAATCGCACAAAGCTTAGTCCTGAGTCATCTGCATACATCGACTTACTGCATATGTTTGTACCCAAGTCTTCACTTTATTAAGTGGTGGGTCATCATCGTCACCATCATTACAGTCCTTCACAAGTCCACTGCTGAACATAGGCCTCGCCCAAGGTATGCCACAAAGCACCGTCCTGAGCCACCTGCATCCATCGACTTCCTGCATGGTTTACCAGGTCGTCACTCCATCTAGTGGGGGGTCGCCCTACACTTCGCCTACCGGAACGAGGCTGACACTCGAGAACCTTTTTTCCTCAACGGTTATCGGTTCTTCGAGCTATATGGCCGGCCCATTGCCACTTCAGCTTACTAATCCGTTGGGCTATGTCGGTCACTCTGGTTCTACTGCGTATATTCTCATTTCTAAGTTTATCACGCAGAGAAACTCCGAGCATAGCCCTCTCCATAGCTCGCTGAGCAACTTTGAGCGTTCTCATACGGCCAGCAGTGAAGGACCACGTCTCGGTTCCGTACGTGGTGATGACAACACGCACTGGTTGTATAACTTAGTTTTAAGGTTTTGAGGTATACTTAACGAGAAGATGTGTCCTAATTTCCCGAATGCTGCCCAGCCGAGTTGAATTCGTCGATTGACCTCTCGGTCGAAGTTAGACTTACCTAGTCGGACTATTTGTCCCAGGTAAACGCACTCGTCAACAACTTCGAGCTTAGTGCTCCCGACAACTACCGGCATAGATGTAACATGGACATTACATATGATCTTTGTTTTGTCTATGTTCATATTAAAACCTATTCGTATAGAGAAACTATTGAAGTCATTGAGTATAGTGCGTAGGTCTTTCAGCGATTCTGCCATATCTCGTCTATGCCGACGATATACGGACTATATCGTCGGTAAATCGAATCGGTGAGTGATGTACTCGCCATTGATGTTAATACCGTATCCTTTCCAGTCCAGTAGCTCGAAAACGTCTTCCAATGCACCGGTGAAGACTTTCGGGGATTTCCCACCCTGTGTTTGATAGGTTTCGTACTCTGGTTCTCTACTCGAATAGCCATCGTAGCCATACTGTACAAACACTTCAGCACTTCGATATACCGACAGTCAACTTGGCACCGCTGAAGAGACTGTAGCACCGCCTAATATAATGTTTGATCTGTATAAAAACGAGCGTATCTTTCTTAGAATTTGAAGTTTTGAGAAAAAACTGAAATGCGTACATTTTAAAGAGTTCGAACTTAGGATATAATTTAGTATTAATTATTATTTGAGTATTTTATAGTACACTCAACAGGTTGGTTAGATTCATTAATACGTACAAATTATATAAGATGTAAATTAAAATTAACATTAAACAACATAAGATACGTACTTAAAATAACATATTGTAGTATTTAAATTAAATTCAATAAGTAAATAAAACAGTCAATGGTTAAAGGGAAAAGAAAAGAAATCAGCGGACGATGCGGGCGGTATTGAATGCATGATTCATCAACAAGGTATTATGTTATATGACTTTAGGATGTATATCTCATAATTGTTAGTCTTAGTAACCTGATATTATATCGTATAAATAATACCTTCTCTTTCTTCGAAGAGGTCATCATTACGTAACCAGTGGAAAGAGGCAACTGTAGCTACGAAAGTCTACTTCTTCCTCTGTACAGTTTTCTAGTGAGAAATGCCCTGTACTGCCGGTTCCGGGCACGGACTACACTCTTAGAGAATACTAATGTAAAATAGCAGATACTCTGCTTTTTTAATGGAGGATCAGGTGAACCGTATGTAAACAAGCATACGATACGATATACGATACGAAGTGACACCGCCGCCCATGTCAATAAAATCAATAAAGTGTACGAGTTTATAAATATTTTTATGTCCATTGAAGTTTCGTTAGTGTTATTACGTGTTTTAAGGCTAAATAATATTATTCATTCCCTATTATAATGCGGAGTGCGTTCAGTATAAAATATAAAACACCCTTGTAAAAGCGGTCGCTTTTAAGAC